GGTGTGTCCTTTCACGGCCTGCCGGGTAGGGGGCAAGGGTGGGGAGGCATGTGCGGTCACTTCCCGGGACCCGTGCCCGGGGTGGCACCACCCTCACTCCCTCCGATTTGGAATTTGCTCCTTGGGAAAACGGGTGCTTAAAGCCAGAGGCGGAGGACACAGCTAACTGCCCGCCGCAGGTTCGGCGAAGGACGCAGCGTGGTTCTGCTTCCTGCTGTAGGGTTTACAGGTCCCAAAACGGGAAAATTTAAACCAACCATGGAAACCTGCCGTATCAGTGGCTGAAAAACTTTGGCCAGCGCCGTCTGTACTGGTCAAGATAGGAGAACAGCTGTGGGAGGAACCAAAGAACACTAGGTGTGCCCTACTTTCCAGAACTTGCAACACTGAGGGCAGGGCTTCCCGAGGTGGTTGGGGTGCAGTGACTTACTCTTGCCCACGTAGGCCCTCGAGGCAGGCGCCTGGACCGGAGCTCCATCCTGCTGAGACTCCTTTGTTTTCCTACTAGTTTGTCCCGCGTTGCCCCCTCCCCCTCCCTTCGCGCTTCCAGCGCGCTTGGCCTTAAAGGGAATAGGGTCTCTGACCTGTAAATTCGCCTGTCCGTCAAACCATTCCGACTAGGGGAAAATTGGTGGCACCCTGGTTTTACAAACCGTGAATCCGCATATATGAATTACTTAGTTTAGATTATGATTCAAAAGTTCCTGTGACTCCACTACATAGTGTGCTTGGGCATTTCCTCCCCAACTGTGTACGTTTTACATCCAGTATCCAGAGGGGAAAATAGATGTTTAAGAGGTGACTCTGTGATTGCACGGGGCTGTGCAACCTGGGGAGATTTTTATACAAAACACCTACCTAGCTCCTTACTTTAGGCTCTTCCTCCAGCCACTGACTGGGGGAAAGTTAAGTTTGGTGAGCTAAGAGAGTAGGCTTGAAAGGAATGAGCTCTCTCTGACCTTGAAGGCAAGGGAAGACTTCAGAATGACCAGCCCATAGCTGGGATTTACGAAAGCCTTTTGGAGCACTGCTTCAAAACTCCATGGGATTTTCACAATGTTTCCTCCTTCCCCTCCAAACACAAAATCCTACCAGAATTCTTGGCTTTCATACAGATCTGTAACCAATATTAACATAAAGCATATTTACTATAATTATTAGAAAAGTTGCAGTAATTTAAATATTGCCACTATTTAAACTAACTATTCTATTTCAGTATTTTGTTGTGTGTTGCCCTGTGACTCATCAAAGTAGTCTCTTCTCTGGGAACCAGTAAAAATTGGAGAAAGGCATCTGTACCTATAAAGAAATAATACACTAATCAGCCCAGGACCAGACTTCGTCTAGTTTGCCCTGCCGCACCCAAAAAAGGAATTGGGCCCTTTATGTTGTCACAGTACACGAATCTAATTATTTTGTTTGTTTTCATGTCTGTAACAAAGTTTATCCCTGAGGCTCAGCAGAGAGAAACAGGGCCCATGAGTTACAGTGTCTCTGTGGCAGCCTTTTAGGCCAGTGCCTGCTGTGGGTAAGGCAGGCACTGAATTTGACATAGCTGCAGAATCTAATTTTTTTTTAATCGGATGCTTCCTGTGAATTTTCCAGGTGATCAGTTTTTGACTACTCCTTATGTTTTTAGAAAGGGGATTAAGTAATTTCAAGCATAACAGTCAAGTGATCCACCCCTCACAGTTGGGGCAGGCCCGGGAGGGGTTGGGTGATTCAGTTGGTGAGTTAGTAGTCTTACTGTTTCCTCTGTCTGCAGAAGCAGCTCCTCCATAGGACACCTTCACTAAACATAGCAGCGTTTTCTGAGGGGATGTTCCTTTCAAGGCGGAAACTCACTCTTTTGAAAATGAGGAAGGAAGGAAATGGGATCATGTAATTGAATTAGTCTTAAGAGCAGCAGTAAGGGGCCTTAGGGAGGAAGGCAGACCTAGAAGTTCTTGGAGTTAATCCTATTTCTGACCACGTAATAAACTAGAGTTTGGGTTCAGAGGGATGAAGGATATGAAGTGGCTTAAAACTGTTAGTTCCTTAGCATGATTCAGCAGAATAGTCTCTCTTAACTCACTAGAAAGAGCTCGTAACTATTCCCGATCATTGCCCCTCTGTAGTCGGGAGCAGAGGAAGCCTCGTTCCATTTCTTCTCCACATCAGAACACTTGGTTTCATCTGATCTTTCAGTGGGTCCTTTCCCCTAGAATCTTAGTGACCTAGGGCTTCTATAGCAGAAATGCCGCAAGTGATGACTAACAGATGGCAGTTTTTTTATTGCACAGTTTTAAGAGGCTAGAAGTTCAACGTCAGGGTGTACACTGTCTTCCTATCCCTCACACAGATCCTTTTTGCTCTGCCCACTCCTTTAATGTCTTTATATCTTGGTGAGAAAATGACATGGGAATCCCGCCTTTCACTGCAGGCTAGGCCAGAGCATGTACACAGGTATAGAGCTTAGGACACACAAGATCCAGGTCAGATTAGCTCCTCGGGAACAGAAATGGGAGTAGTGATACCAGGAGGGTGGGGGAAGGTGAGGAGAGGAGGGGGGAAGAAACCATAGGGGAAGGGAGACAAGGCCTCAAATAGATTGTAAATATTTAGGGAAAAAAAGATGGCAACATATGTACAAATATGCTTGATACAATTGATGTATGGATTCTTTGAAGAGCAGTAAGAGTCCCCAATAAAATGACATGGGAGCAGCATCTAATCTCTGATGACATGGGAGCAGCATCTAATCTCTGATTTCACAAAGGGTTGGGGGTAGAAACCAATTACCAGCTCTAGACTGATAGTCAGAGGTGGCCGGCCATCAGTCAGACTTGCCTGCATCCTCCAACCTTCTTTAGCATTTCTGACACCAACCATCCCCCTTGGGGGGCACTCCCTTTTCTGCAGGATTTAATAATGCATTACAATGACTATACCGAACTCAGGAATAGACATGGACAGGGTACAGTTCTTCAAATCAGGCCCTGTTCTTAGCAGTTAGCTTGAAACACTCTAGTCATCTGTACAAGTTTTACCTCAGGTGATGATGACTTAGTGATTAGCATTCACTAAGAATCCGTAGTTACAGAAAACTGTATTGTAGACTGTCACTCTAGGAGCCATGGTGGGTGACCTGTTGAGCAGCTAACCACAAGGTCAGCAGTTCAGACACACCAGCTGCTCCAAGGAAGAAAGATGGGGCTTTCTGCTTTTATGAAAATGTAGTCTCTAAAACCCACAGGGAGGCGCATTGTGAGTCAGATAGCAGTGAGTGTGGAATTTTGGAGGCAATTATACACAGTTGTCTACCTGCTTGGTTTGAAACAAGAAAAAAATAAATGAAGCAGTAAGACTGGGTGGAAGAGTTCTTTTGTTAGAGATTAAAACTGGGTGTCTTGTTTGACGAGTTAGATCAGTCAAGTAGTTTTACAGAAGATTATATGGAAGTTTTACAGAAGATATGCATTCATTCCAAAGAAGGAAAGTGTCAACCTTGATTGTCCATATAATAGGAGCTAGAAACCTGTTTGTTTCCTATTACATAATCTGTTCATTATTGCAGTTAGGCAATTGTTTGGATTCAGGGCACATTGGGACACCCATTATTAGAGCTGAATGTTTATTGGAGCAAGAGTTTCCATGCTTAGAAAAAATGTAGAAAGTAAGAAGTAAGTACTTCAGTAAGCTACTTGATTTGAATAGAACAGATTTCTTTTTAACAGAAAAGGCATCTGGGTGGCACCATAGCTATGACAGAAGCAACACTCTTTAATTAGTCTTTTAAATTATTTATAACTTGAATTCTATGTCTCTAACCACAGTGGACATGGGCTTTTTATGTAGGTAAGAAGCTTGCAAAAACCAAAGCAGACTCACTGCTGGGAGTTGTTTCTGACTCAGCGACCTGTAGGACAGGACAGAACTTCCCCCGGACAGAAAACCTTGACAGCAATAGAAAGGCTCATCATGTTTTCAGAACAGGACCAACGAGTGTGTTTGAACTGCTTATCTTGCAATTAGCAGCCCAACATGTAACCCACTCTGCCACCAGGGCTCCTAGAAAGTTGAAAAGCACCCCTCAAAAAGAAAGCTAATTGTAGCTTTGTAAACATTCATTTCAAAAAGAAAAAATCTGTTTTTGATCCAGAAACTCTGACTTCTCACTGTCCATGATGTCGATGGCGCCTCTTTGTTCACTTGTAACCTTCTTTTCCTTCCTTTTAGGTGGGGCATTCTCTTCTCCCACCCTAGGGACTTTACTCCAGTGTGCACCACAGAACTTGGCAGAGCTGCAAAGCTGGCACCAGAATTTGCCAAGAGGAATGTGAAGTTGATTGCCCTTTCGATAGACAGTGTTGAAGACCATCTTGCCTGGAGCAAGGTAGAGTACCAGCAGCCTGTGCTTTGCCCCTGAGGTTACAGATGATCGAGATTAGCTTGGTTTCTGAGGTGAGAGTGCAAGTAAAGCTCCAGTTCAGACTTCACTGATGACCTGAACATCTGACCTGGATTGCACAGTGAGTGACCATCACATGGTTCCCAATCCACTGGTCAGCCCATAACCCTGATGTCTGTTGGCCTTTTCAGCTGACCTATTCAACTATTCCTGAAGCATTTTCCTGTCTTGGCTTCCGGGACATCCTATCTTGCTATTCCTGTTCAAGCCCTTGGATTGACTCTTCATGATCTCCCAACTCATGGTGGAGTTGCTTCAAATCCATTTCCTAGATCTCCTCTTTTCTATGTACACTCTTTCCTCTGGTAAGTTCACCCACTCACATCTGCAAATAGCTCTGGGCTGTCCAGGCGCCTCAAAGCCAAGCTGTCCCAAACTAGGCTCCTGTTATTTCTCTCAGGGTTGTATACATCTCAAGTAATGGCAACTGCGCTTTATTTTAGTTAATCGGGCCAAAAATACAAGTCATGCTAACTCCTTTTAGTTTTTCACATCTTTTGTCTCCTCTCGTGTCTAATTCTTCATAAGCTTGTGGGCTCTACCATCAAAATATATCCAAAATTTTATTAGCTATATTGACTCCTCTCTTTCTGGTGTCTGAGGCTTGCCCTTAGCTCTTGTAGGTGTCAACGCAAGTGAGGCCTCAGTAAGTCTCTTGGCCTCCTGATCTAAAGGGATCCATCTGCTCTAGATTCCCTATTCTCTTCTGTTTAATTTTCCTCCTTTTGCCCTTGCCACCAAAAGGCTCCGCATGTTGCTTATTCATTTGTCCCTCCCATCAGTGTAGGGCTGCAGCAGGAAAAGACTGGTTCTGCGCACTGGTGAAGCAGTGCTTCTTACTCAGTACATCCAAAGTTTTCCATCTGTATGTGCTAAATGAACAAATTGTCCACTCATCAGAAAGATTCACTTGGGTTATAATTTTGGCTGTTGAAACCTACTTGAGAACAATTCAAGGACTTTGATTTTGCTACAATGTACTTCTGAATAACAAGAATTAACCAAGAACCCACTGCCATTGAATGGGTTTCTGACTAAACAGTGACCCTATAGAAGGTTTCTGAGACTCTAAATTTACAGGAGCAGATAACCTTATCTTTCTCCCGCTGAGTGGACCTTGGACGTTTCACTTAGCAGTCCACTGCATACCCAACAGCCCTCCCCACCAGGGTTCCTTGAAAAATAAAGGATAATAATTACTTTTTATTGTGAATTAGGTGAAAGTTTACATTTCAACAGTTTTACCTTCAATTATTCATAAACATTTTGTATCCATCCATTCGTCCACTGCAATCCCCTAAAGGTACCATCACTTATCCTACTACCTCCCCATGTCTCCAGTTTCATCCCTCCTTCTTTCTAACGCTCTGAACTTTATCCTTGGGTAAGTGCTTTAGATCTTAAATGGTTGCTATTTGTAGCACGAGGCTGTGCCTAATTGCAGAACTGAAGGGTAACTAACTGAGGGCCACAGTCTTGAAAGTGCTTCTGTCTATCTGACTAGTCGTGTTTTCATTATTAACTTTGTTTCACTCTGGAAAGCTAACGTTTGAGGAAACACTTTCCATGCAACTGAATAAAAGAAGTATTTTACTGATTTGTGGTTTGTTGAGTAAGCCTGGATGCCATGGTCATTTCATAGCAGTTAATCCTAAATCTGTAGGAAGATTCATGCATAAGAGAAAAGGGAAAGGTAATCCTATTTCTTGAAGTAAATTTTTGTTTTTCGTTCCTTATATTTGACAGTGAATGTTAACTAATGTTTCTGCAGTATTTTCACAGGCAGTTTCTCATTAAAGTCTAACAGCAGCCCTTTAAGGGAAGTACACACAGTCCCCAGGTTAAGAATGAAATCAGTTGCTACATGTGTCTTTTTAAGTTGAATTTGTAGGTAAATCAGACCAGGTACATACAGTTCTTATTTAGCCTTAACTTTAGTGCCAGAAAAAGGGGCCTTAGTCACACTGTAGGTCCACTGGTGATAGCTCCGTTGGGCTGCTAGTTACAAGTCTGCAGTTCAAAACTACCAGCCACTTTGCAGGAGAAAGATGGGGCTTTCTGCTCCCCTAAAGAATTAGTCACTGAAACTCACAGGGGCAGTTCTACCCTGCCCTACAGAGTCAGAATCAACTTGATGACAGTGAATTTGGGTGGCACTGTGGGTTGGGTGTTGGGCTGTCTGCTCTTAAGATTTGCAGTCTTAAAACGTTATGTAGTCTGAATGGGAATCAACTTTGACAATAGGTTTACTGCAAGAAAAAGCCTTTCAATGATTTAAAAGCTGCATTTGCAGCCAGGGAAGAAGATTATGATGAAGACTGTTGAGAGAGAGCTGGTTCGATTCTTTCAAAATGAGGGCAAATTTACAGAGCACTAGAGCCAAGTATAAACCCTGGAGTAGTAGTGGTTACATGTTGGGCCGCTAACTGAAAGAAGGCTTTCTAATCACCTGAAGAGTTAATTAACAGTCACTGAAACTTACAGGGGTAGTTGTGTTTTGTCTAAAGTGACCAGACGTCCCGCTTTTGGTGGGAGAGTCCCGATTTTTAACAATTTTTCCCGCGTCCCACGGCGTTTTTAAAAAGTCCCGATTTTTTTAAAGAATGCACAACAAGCTAGGGTATAAGGTTTTCAGCTGCCATGTGGCTATTTTGCCAGGCTATGAGTTTTATCAGTGGTGTCCCGCTTTACCAATGTTAAAATCTGGTCACCTTGACCTTGTCCTATGGGGTCACTGTGAGTAGACATCGACTCGGTGGCAATGAGAAAGGCCAAGAAGGAGTTGTCAAGCCCTGGTGTAGTGGTAAAGAGTTCAACTGAAAGTTCAGGAATTTGGGATTCTAACCCACTAGCTGCCCTCCTCCAGAGTAAGGCATACAGCCTGCTTTTATGAAGGTAGCAGTCTTGGGAACCCTACAGGGCAGTTCTGCCCCGTCCTTTCGTATCAGCTCGAGTCAGAACCAACTCAGAGATGCTGTGCTTGGGCTTTTGTTGTGTTGTCTTTTGTTTTTTCGTAATTGTCCATCGGTCAGACGTTTATACCCCAGAGATAGCCTCTATGTGGGTTTTGCTCTCATTTTCGCTCAGAGTTGGAGGGGGCTTGCTTGCAGTTGCCCATCTAGGAAATTAGGACAATGTGATCAGAACTTTAAGCTAACTCTTTTTGATATGAGTTGATTACTTGTTCACTGCTATCAAGCTGATTCAGAGTCATACTGTATAGAAATTTACCTGATTTAGGAAGGAACAAAGAAGCCATAATGTGCTCAGCTGCTAATCAAAAGGTGGGTGGTTTGACCCCACTCAGCAGTTCCACACAAGGAGACAATGGTCAAGAAAACCTTATGTGCCCATGTTACTCTGTCACTAGGAGTGGGAATCAATTTGATGGCAGCTAAGTTTGTTTAATACAGAATAAAGCCAAAGTGTGATTCTTTGATGTTTATGGCTGTAACGTAATGCCTATTCTGCAAGTGGCAGCATTGAGTAATAATTAATTGCAAGGTTAGCAATAATTAAAATTGTGTCACTACAGAAAGAAACATAGGCTATTGTATGATACCTTTTGAAGTTTGGAGCAAACTGGATTTTAGATGGAGAGCTTGGACGTTTTCCGAATGGTGACTACATTTATAGGAAACAAGTTCCAGCCATCAGAAGCAATGTCCAAAGTTGACATATAACAAACAGCTTATATAGGAAACTTCAAGTTGCCTTAACATAAAACCATAATAATTATTACTTATTCATGTTGTCTTTTTAGAAGCCGTGACAGCAAATGGGAAGTCGGGATTAATTTATTGCTATCCATTTCAAAGTTTATAAATGCGGAGGAGATGGATGGAGTATGTGGCCTGTTGCCTCCATGAACAACTGCCTCCTCTGTCATGAGACCAGAAGACCTGGATAGTGCCCAGCTACCATCACTAGACATTTGATCAGAGATTCTATAGAAAAATGCTGATCATAAAGGAGAAAAGTGCAGAACAGAATTTCAGAGTCTCATGAACTGCAGACTTTTTGGAGACATGGAGATTAGATAAATCCCTGAAATTTTATCTTTGAACCTTTAACCAAAAAATATCCTCAAGTCTTTTTAAAACCAAACTATACCTTTAGTTTAACTAGTAAAAAATGTTTGCCTTGAGCCTTATGCTCTTATAAGAACTATGCATATGAAATTAAATCGACAGCAGTAACTTGAAAGATCAGATAGGCAACTCAGAGGGCAGTGAGTTTATGTTACTGGGCGAGAAACAGCTCAGAAAAGGAGAGAGTGGTTTACACAATTCCAAGATGTAATCAATGTCCTTGAATTGTACATGTAGAAAATCTTGCTGTGCTCCACTTTGTATAATTTCAACAACCAAATAAATTAAAAATTTTAAGATAGCAATATTTTAAATGTATAAATGCTACTCTAATCATGTCTGTGTCTGTTGATAAATCCTTATACCATCAAGGCTCCCCATAGTATTACAGATCTTACGTGAAATTTAACTCTTATTTTCTGTTACTTCTTCAAACTCTACTTAGCTATATTTCTCACTGTCAGTAATTTATGCACAGATTTGCCTACATGTTGTCATTAATATTTTCCCTTAAAAATATCATCCTTTCTCACCTGTGAAAACATTTCCCCGTTAGTCAAGGGATAAGGGAGAAGTCCTACCTCTTTCTCAAAATCTTCCTAACTCATCGGCCTTCCATACGTTTATGTTAGTAACTCCAACATTTATAATCTGGCACTGAATTATTGCAGGCTTGTGTTTGCTGTTGCTTTATATGGAAATCACCTAACCAAATTAGAAGTTCAATTGAAGACAGGAACCGTGTCTTCCTCATCTGTATTCCATGTGTACTTCCCATAGTGCTTAGCCCACTTGAATTGCTATATCAGTGCTTGATCAAATAATAAAAGTAGA